AATACGCTATCATAGGAACGTCCGTGTTGAGAGCTCGGCGAAATGTTTGACAGACTGTGGGGTCCACAGCATTTTATTCCGTGACAAAAGCTTTTTCTTTGAAAGTGTGCAGCTTCATGTGGCTGAGTAGGCGGGCCATTATTAATTAGCCCTGCTGTAACCACAGTCATGTCCGTCCGGAGTTTTCGTGGGAAAGTGCTTGACCTTGGCTGGTTGGGATTACAGCCCTTCCGGCTAACAATGACCATTTTAGAAGTATGCAGTGAAAAGAATGGAGAGTGGGGGACGAGATGACAGGCATTTGGGAGTCCTCCGCACCGGTACCTAGCCGCACATGTGCCCCTCTGCTGGATAATTTGGGCGCTATTGCGGGGCTTCCACCACGCTGGGGTAGAGTGGGTGGGGGTGGGGGAACACTGAGGTCCACTGATGCCTGGTACATGCAGCATGTCTCCTGGTACACGGGACATTGCAGGATCTCGGAAAAAAGGTGAGAGAGGGAAGACGGACAAACCTGGCGGCGTTCAACCCCCCCCCCCTCCCCCCTCCACCCCTCTCCCCGATGGATAATCTCGAGGATGCCTGGATCCGACCTCGCGACCCGGCGGCATTCATCCCAGGCAGATCGGGTCACCGGAGTGCCAGTTCACGCCATGACACAGATCAAATTGTTCATGGATGGCAAAAACCAAGACACATGCACACACACGTTGTTTTACAAGCCAAGCCCAAACGAAAAACCGAACGCGAAAGGTGCGTCTCCTTTCTATAGCTGCCACGCGTACCGCTACAGGCCTTAAAACTCATGAATGGGCCATCCCATACATTCCTTTTCACCACCATTGCCTGCGAGCTCTCACCCGCCAATGTCCATGACGAACTTCTAACCCTCCTGCTGGTCTTGTGCGCGTCGAAGTCGCGAGCTTGCGGCACGCCGTAGGCCCGATGTCGATGTACATCTGCCGCTGGCCGCTCGCCGGCTGCAGGAAGCCGGGGTGGGCCGGCAGCACGAATGGACACAGCCACATCGGGTAGATCTGCAGCGGCAGGGGACGACACCGGTTCAGTAAAGGTGGCGCCACAGTCTCGCGCCGCATCCTCCACTGGCGGTCCGGGCACGGAGTCTCTGCGGCAGTGCACACCGCTTCATCCCATGGCCGCGACCGGCAGTCATCAATAAATACTGCCAACTTCACCGTCACCGAGTATGTTAAGGTTAATATTTGCATTCCAGGCCCCGAACGAATATTTATAGACAGAGCGTTGTGAACATTGGGCATATACAAACGATACTGCGGCCGTGTACGGGCGAGACGTGCTAGCTTAGAGACCTGCTGGGCACAGAAAAGGACCATCAATGTTTCACTAGCTCTGCTGTGGCCGCTACCGGGGAGTGAGCAGTGCGGTGGAGTCGGAGTTGCAGTCAGAGTCACTCTGGTGTCAATATTAAGACCGGAGTGGGAGCGCGTATAGGTCGCCAGCATTGAACTAACCTCTACTCCAAATCTCCGCCGGTGGAATAATGCATACGTAGTTCAGTGTGTGTGTGTGTATGTGTGTGTGTGTTTGTGGGGTCTAAACTCCCAACCAAATATATATATATATAGATATATATATATATATATATATATTATATATATATATATATAATATATATATGTGTGTGTGTGTGTGTGTGTGTGTGTGTGTGTGTGTGTGTGTGTGTGTGTGTGTGTGTGTGTTGTGTGTGTGTGGGTGTGTGTGTGTGTGTGTGGTGTGTGTGTGTGTGTGTGTTGTGTGTGTTGTGTGTGTGTGTGTGTGGGTGTGGTGTGTGTGTGTGTGGTGTGTGTGTGTGTGTGTGTGTGTGTGTGTGTGTGTGTTGTGTGTGTGTGTGTGTGTGTGTGTGTGTGTGTGTGTGTGTGTGTGTGTGTGGTGTGTGTGGTGTGGTGTGTGGTGTGTGTGTTGTGTGTGTGTGGTGTGTGGTGTGTGTGTGTGTGTTGTGTGTGTGTGTGTGTGTGTGTGTGGTGTGTGTGGGTGTGGTGTGTGTGTGTGTGTGTGTGTGTGTGTGGTGTGTGTGTGTGTGTGTGTGTGTGGTGTGTGTGTGGTGTGTGTGTGTGTGTGTGTGGGTGTGTGTGTGTGTGTTGTGTGTGTGTGTGTGTGGTGTGTGTGGTGGGTGTGTGTGTGTTGGTGTGTGGGTGTGGTGTGTGTGTGGTGTGTGTGTGTGTGTGTGTTGTTTGTGTGTGTGTGGGTGTGTGTGTGTGTGTGTGTGGGGTTGTGTGTGTGTGGTGTGTGTGTGGTGTGTGTTGTGTGTGTGTGTGTGGTGTGTGTGTGTGTGTGTGTGTGTGTGTGTGTACATTTGACACGTATTTTGTAAAGCTAATGCCGCCGGCTGTAGCCATATGCGATGGCTTCTGTGAGAGGAGAGCAGGTGGTACAGCTTCTGACATTTGGACCATCAGTTGTAAGGCAAAGCTAATGACAGGTCGAAAAGCGTAATGGCTTGACGATGATTTGATAACATATTTCATATGTAAGGAATGGGTATAGAAAAGGTCTCGAGCTTTGCATAGAATGAACGGGGCCCGACTCTATGAGGAATGTGAATAGTCTATTGGGTAGGACAGGGTGGTTGTCGCCGAGCAAGACTGAGGATGTTGGCAGGAGATAGTGCGCTGATAATGACGGGTATGTCTGTGTGTGAGCTAGGCGATGGTGGGTCAGATGATGTGTCTGTGTGTGAGCTGGATGATGGTGGGTCCCACTGATGTGTGCGGTCTGGGTGATAATGGGTCAGGAGAGTGTGTCTGTATGCGGTCTGGGTGATGGTGGGTCAGA